TTTGGGGCAAGATCCTTGGGGTCAAGGTTTCTTAACAGCAGTGTTATTGACTTTGTTATTGTGGGGTCTGGCGGGCCACTGTTCTGTTCATCGTAAGATGTTTAGCAGCATCTCCGGCCTGCGCCCACTAGATGCCAATTGAGACTACCAAAACTGTCTCTAGATATTGACAAATGTCCCCTGGAAGTGGGGAAGCGGGGGGAAACAAAATTTCCCTCAGTTGAGAATTGCTGCTTTGAAGGGTAAGATGTCATGTGCGTGTATTTTTTTATAATGCAATATTTAATAAGCACTTTTTGTGAACTAGCTGGATCAACTCAGATAATTTAAGGTATTTGTTGAAGGCTGATGCCTCTATTTGACTTTAGAATACTTAGAAGGAAATTATGATTTACTATGCATATAATACAAACGGTTGATACAATGTATGACACATACAGTTTAATATGAATAATATTTGGTGCATCCCAGAGGACATTAAACAAACTTACATTCTTTCACGTCATTGAATTTTAAGGTTTCCATGTGTGTTTTAGAAGGATATTTCGATCTTAGATTCGAAAATTGTCAAAAATAACCTGCTGCTGGGAAAAAAGTAATGTCCCAATAGAGAACCATGAACTAATCATTCTTTCACTTATTCAACAAATGTTTCATTACTAATAATAAAAAGTGTTTTTAAGTGACAAGCTGGCTACATTTTTTAGCACTAATCCTTCAGGCAAGAACCCACTGGTATGTAGCTCTAAGCAAGTAATGCAGTAGTGTGGTTAATCCTGTAAACATTTAGGCTTCTCCTAAAGAAGTAGACTACAGAAAAATGAATTTAAGACCACAGTTTATATTACAAGGAGTATAATTTGTAACATGCTCTTTGACTTAGATACAAATTTTTATCCAAGTGCCTAGAATCAACCACAAGCTAGAAGTCAAAACACAGTTGAACCGGCAGCCTAACATTTTTTAAGAAAACATTACTACTAATTAATCATCACTGTGAGGTAGCGCATTGTCCCACATTTAAACTTATACAAATTTCCTCCAATTAACAATATAAACAATTTTGTACCACTTGAAAATGTCACTTAAAAATAGCTGATGAAGAATAATAACAAAATATACTAATCTCTTAAAATGAGGTCAATATTTTAATTGTAATACTTTTTTGCCAGTTAATTTAACAACACTAGGAAACCTACAAACATTGCTCAAATGGTGTTTGTTCTCAGAAATATACAATTAAAGCGCCTTCTCTGTTCTTTGTTACAAGGTGCACGATGGCAGGGGGGGAATGCGTGAAATACAGCAATCTACCTTGGCAGTTTATTAGGATAGTTAGTAGTACTTTAAAAATCGAATATTGAATTCATACCAAAATCTGAAGGTCTGTACTATCAAATACATGAACAAACACACATCTATATTTATGCATACAATATACTTGAAAATCAGAATGCCAAATAAATGTTTGAAAGTGTAAATTTTTAATACTGTAATTTCAAAGTCTGAAAAATGCCTTTTAAAACTTTCTAGATTATTTTTATACTTTTTTAAAAGTAGAGTTATAAAAATTAAAAGCCAGTTGTCACTACCAACACTCAGCTTTGAGACACAGGAAAGGGAAACCAAGATCTCTTCCAAAGTCCAAATCACACAAAAGACTGGGGACCTCATTGTCTTCCAGTCTGTGACTTTCAGATGCAGCACAAATGTCTTTATCAAGGAATTCAGACGGACTCAATTACTGCATTCTTAAAACATCTCATTATGTGAAATTGCGTGAGAAAAAAAACAAAAACACATCATTTTAAAAAAGACATTTGACTTAGGAAAAGTCAAAGAAAAGATAAGATTGGAACCCAGAGGTAAGAAAGTATTGACTTCTAAGCACTGCTCTCCTCTGGCAAATGTGAGCTACTGGTCGGCAGGGTGTAACAAGAATTCCACCTGTCCTCTACTCTAGAGAGGAAAATCAGTAGGGGCAGAGCGAGGAGTGAGATCCCCATATGTGCAGAAGTCCCACACTGAACTCCGGATATTTCTGGCATAAGCCTCAGAATTCCCTGGGGCACACTGCCTAAATCCAGCAGCAACAGTTAGCTACAGAACCTGCCCTTGGACATCATCTTCTACATGCTTTTTTCTCCATATTTGCCCCGCAAAATGCAACTCTAGAGAAAGCTGAGTACATGTCTATGGATTCCCGGCAAGACCCGAGAGTTTGTCCAAGACCTCATGTCTCAATCTACTAGCTGCAAACCAGCGGTAGAAAGTTGCAAAACCACCCAGACAGGCCCAAGGCCAAGTGCTGCCACTGTACTTTCTTGATTTCCTGGTCAAATGCAAAAGAAAAATGAAATGTGGGATAAGAAGTGAGGGGTTGCCTGGAAGGTTGGCACAAAACCTCAAAACTGGTAAAAAGAAAAAAAAATTACACCCTTCTGTAAAATTAAGAAAAGCCAGCCCGAAGATACAGTTTTCGTCTGGCAAACCTAGGAGAAGTACACCTTAAGGGTGGGGTGAGGGTCACCGCCTTCCCCCAAACAGGGTTATTTCTAAGGAATCCCGTGAAGCTTCCCTCTTTCCCAGGGGGCTCGGCTCACATACTTCTTCCTGTTCGTCCCTTCCCCTTGTGAAGCCAGGGAACAAATAAGTGATTCCAAGGTGCCCTGGCGCAGTCTATTTCCTTTGGGTTAATAAAATTAAATCAAGTCCCTTGCGATGGCGAAGATGGATCTCCTGATAGTAGACCCCGACCTCCAGGCGCTTCTCAGTCCCTTCCTGCCGAGCGACCAGACAGTGCTCGGACTCTGCCACACGCAGCCCGCACCCTTCTGGCGGCTCCCGCGCGGCCAACTCAGACTCTTAGTTCCAGTTGCCCGCAAGTCTCAGAAGCCAAAGCGCCCTCATCTAATTATCTGCAGAACTATTATCCAAGAAATGGGTCATAGGATAAATATTCCCATTTCCTGGATGGGGCCCCTAGACTGTCGACTTGCTCACAAAGATTAAGGGTAAGAAACCAGCTCTCCCCGAATGTGCCACTTCCAACTGTCCAGCAAAAGGGCGAGGGGGACGTGTGGTCTTCTGGGGCATGGACAATCTCTCCCACCTCAGCAACTAGGCGCTGGGATCCGGGTCGGCTCTCGGCTCGGCTCGCAGGCTGTAAGGTCTCCGAGGACCCCACCGCCTCTCCTGCATGCTAAGGGTGCGGGCCAAACAATTTCGCAAGCAATAGCCCGCAGAGGAACCATCCCCAGAGGGAAAATAAACCTCTGCAAACTGGAGCAAGGGGGTGCTTTCCTTCCCTGGCCAGAAGCTCCGGGATCGCAGCCCTCCCGGGTCCGGCTTCATCCCTGCCCGGCCCCCTCCCGGGCCCTCATTTTCTGCACCGCGGATTCTCCTCCGCCTGCATGTTCGGGGCCCTTGTACGCGATGTTTCTTTCTAAAAGTTGTCCTGCCGGCTGATTCAAAAGTCGCTCCAAGGGAAATAAGGTTTATGCTTTGTCATTATCTTCATCGCCCTCTTTGTTTTGCCCCTGCCCTGTCGTATTTCAAGAAAATGAACTCTTAGAAAAGAAAGCCTCTCCGTTGAGGCGGTTGGCAATCTCACAGAAATGATGTAAATGGTTTCAGGGCTTTTTTCTTCCCCTCTGCTATTTTTTTAGAGTGAACTGTGAAGATCTGTGAAAATAATATCAGGGTTTTCCGTCAGAACGAGCTTTGCCCTGCACTCAGGCGTGGCGTGATCTGACCCGACACCTCCAACCATCTGTGCTATCTATCTGCCTTCTGATTTACCAGATCTGTACAAGCCGCATACAAATTGTACTTGATACTAAAGAAAAGACAGTCGGGCCCAGTCCAGTTCGGCGGTGAACATTCTCATCTCATTTCTGTCTAGGGATGGACCTCCCCAAAACGGTTTTCCTGGCGTTTTTGTTATACAGCCCCCTACCAGTTATATTTTTCAGACTAAACAAACCCCTACCACAGGCCCGGATGAGATCATGGTTTCTTGGACCCAGGCCTCAGAAAATGGTACGATGTGGACTGCCAATTGGGAATCAATAAAAGTTGCCAATTCACTCTACTAGCCCAAAGTCAGAGACACCAAGTCACTCCTTCCTCACTACAGGAGGGGTCAGTGCTCAGCGGCTTAAGAAGCGCTTTCTAGGCCCCCGCATTGTAGTGGATTCCTTTCTGTATTGTATTTTTACTGAATTGCTTTTGGGCTAAAATGCCAAGGTTAGAGTTGTTATCCCCAGCTCAAGAGGCATATGTTCTAACACAAGGTAGGGGCAAAATAAGCCTGCAAGGAAAGGAGTTAAGTCGATATTTTTAAAAAGATATCGGAAATAAGCTTTTAAGTTGCTGTCCTGACCTACCAATGACTTCTCGGCTCTAGATGTGGCTGTACTGCACATTTGTTCAAGCCCATTAAACTGGGGGAGGGGGAGAAAGTATATTTATCCTCTCTATTTGGAGGTCCCTAGAGCCCACCCTTCTTTTCTTAAAGTGTCTGACTTCGTGGTCTGCATCTGCGTTATCAGACGTGAGCATGTCCTTGTTCTCATTTAAAATTTTAGTGGGCTTTGAAGGGAATAAGGCTAGAGTTCAAACTGACCTCTTCTACAGATCCCTGGTCCTGTTCCTGCTGCTCCAGATTTGCTTCCCACTCAGCTGCTTTGGCAACTGGAAACGGGAAGAGGGAGGCATGTAGAGATGGGTACTTGGGAAAAAATGAGAAGATCGCTTCCCCCCACCCGCTTCCTGCTCCCACCGCAAGGTTTGCTGTTTCGCTACAACTAAACTTGCGAATTCTCGGAGCATTTCAGTTTGGGTCAGTCCTCTTTGTCCTCTGGAGACCTCTCGACCGAGACAACGCATCGCCCCAAAGTGAATTCCTGAATTCCTGTAGTATCACTGCTTCTTTGGTGGGAAAGGGGAGGGAGGGGTAGAGTGGGGTGGGGGAGGGAAGAAGAGTGAACGCTGCCGCACTCGCCTCTCTTTTTCTCCCAGACACTCGCATGTCTTTTCAACCTCCAGGTTCTGCAAAATACTGAGGAAAAGTCCAGGGACTAGCGGCGGGCGCTGTCGAGCACGGGGAGGTGCTGAAACAGTCCTGGCTTGCTGGTCCAAGCTTTGATTGGCAGAGCCAGCCGGTGACTGACAAGGGGTCTCCATGGCGCCCGTGCCGCCAATCCGCCCACCCCAGTAGCGGAGCCAGTTCTCCTGCCGGCGTGCTTGAGCCGAGCCGAGACCGAACCCGGAGCCGCGGAGCCAGCACCTCCTCCAGTCAGGGCCGCCCGCTCCCGGCCGTTGCGCCACCGCCGCCACCAGTCGTGTGTCCCCGCTGCCCCAATCCCCCTCATCGACAAGAGCCTGGCGCACTCAGCCAGGCCCGCGGGCATCTGCTGCGTGTCCCGCTCTGGGCTCAGTGCCCTCGCCGCTGCCGGAGCTGCCTCGATGTTCCAGCTACCCATCTTGAATTTCAGCCCCCAGCAAGTGGCCGGGGTATGCGAGACCCTGGAAGAGAGCGGCGATGTGGAGCGCCTGGGTCGCTTCCTCTGGTCGCTGCCCGTGGCCCCTGCGGCCTGCGAGGCCCTCAACAAGAATGAGTCGGTGCTGCGCGCACGAGCTATCGTGGCCTTTCACGGTGGCAACTACCGCGAGCTCTACCATATCCTGGAAAACCACAAGTTCACCAAGGAGTCGCACGCCAAGCTGCAGGCGCTCTGGCTTGAAGCACACTATCAGGAGGCTGAGAAGCTGCGTGGAAGGCCCCTGGGGCCAGTGGACAAGTACCGAGTAAGGAAGAAGTTCCCGCTGCCGCGCACCATTTGGGACGGCGAACAGAAGACACACTGCTTCAAGGAGCGCACGCGGCACCTGCTACGCGAGTGGTACCTGCAGGATCCATACCCTAACCCCAGCAAAAAGCGTGAGCTCGCCCAGGCAACCGGACTGACTCCCACGCAGGTGGGCAACTGGTTCAAAAACCGCCGACAAAGGGACCGAGCAGCTGCAGCCAAGAACAGGTCGGTACCTAGAGGCCTCCGCGATTTGCGCGCACCGGGGAGGAGGCGGGTGGAGGCACCTCTGGCGCTGTTACCCAGACCCTGGCGACTCCAATTCAGCAGGAGTTGGGAGCGCGGTCTGTCTCGGGTTAAGAGACCACTCGCGTTCTGGGTTTCTGGAGTTCCCTTCCCGGCTCTGCTTCCCCACCCACTGGTTCTCCACGCCTCCTGGCAGCTGCAGCAGCTGGTCCCGGTCACCAAACCAAGGCTTCACTGGGACGGAGAGGGGAAGAGAAACAAAAATTAAAATCCTACAATTAGAGACCCCAAGACCCAAAGCTAATTCTTGTCAGCCTGGGCACAGGCTCCTACTATTAATGGAAGCCTGACTTATTAGCAGTGTGTCGGTTTCATGTTAATTATCATTTTCAAAGCCCAGGTGCATCCCTCCGTAATGCTTTGAAAACAGTTTTCAATGGACTTTTGAGAAATAGGAAGTCGAGTTTTCCTCTTCCCATGCGCTGTCTGCCACCCTTGTCTCAAAACAGCAAACTAGTCGATGGGCCGAGGCTTTTCATTTCCCGGAGTGTGGATCTCGATGAGCCAAACATTTTGCGGAAGAGCCCAGCCTCATCCCCCAGGCCCAAATGCTTCTTACAATCCTTTTTCCCTTTAGGTCGGGCCGACCCGATCCAACACGATCGCGGGAGCACTGACTAAGGCGTATGCCCCAGGCAGACGCACCATTAGAAATGGAATCCCATGTCCCCGGGACCGATTTGTCCTTGTCACCCACGCTTCGTTTATTTCCTGACAGTCCTGTTTATCTCCCAAAGGTGGACAACAAATGGGGAGGACCCTGCAAGCCCAGTATACCAAAGACCTGGGAGCTGGGGCGCTGAGAAAGGGCGCGAATGATGGTGGGGCACAACAGTAGGGGCCCGCGGAGGGGCGGCCGCGGACTCCTGCCCGACCTCTGTCGCCTTGCCGGGAAATCCTCGCCTTAACTGCTAGGGTCTACGGAAGAGCCTCTGGCCGCCGGGCTGGAGGGACGCAGGAGGTGGTGGGGGCGGGCGACGGGCGGCTGTGTTACGAGCTGTGACCCGTGTTCCCTTTCTTCCCCGTAGACTCCAGCAGCAGGTCCTGTCACAGGGTTCCGGGCGGGCACTACGGGCGGAGGGCGACGGCACATCAGAGGTGCTCGGTGTCGCCGCCAGCCCGGCCGCCAGTCTATCCAGCAAGGCGGCCACTTCAGCCATCTCCATCACGTCCAGCGACAGCGAGTGCGACATCTGAGTTGCCCATCCAGGATGCTAAGAAGCAGATTCCAGTGTAAAAACGAGAAAAACAAAATGAAAGAGGGAAAGATGAGAGACCTGCAAATCCAGCGCCAGAGAAGCCAGGTGACCAGGGACCCGCGCGCTCGGGTTTGCCATTTCCGGCCCCACACCGCGGCCAGCCTGGCTCCACTGGCGCCCTTTGGCCGCGACCACGGGAACCCGCGGTGAGGCCTGACCCAGCACCACGTTCTTCTCGCTTTGCTTTGTCCTAAGGATTTTGCTGCAAAGTCGCCTTCGGAACCGAACTGCAAGCTGAGCGCCTGCCCAGATTCTCCCATGGGTATTTCACGTCAAAAGGACGCTGTTATATATGTATAACTTTTGCTTTAAAGTTTTTTTTTTTAACAAAACATATATATGCTGTTTATTTACTTATTTAAGAGACCGCCATGGTAGGTTTCTCTGTAGCTTGGGGAACTTGCTGTTTCTAAACATGCAGGCTGGTGCTGATGGGTTCTGTGTGGAGAAGCCAAACAATAAAACAACCTAGTGGGCAACCTTCTTAATTAAGGGAGCTGCTCTCAGATTCCGTTTATTATTATTATTATTATAAAGATCATTCCCTTCACCAGGCATGCAGGGACCCTTGAGCAAATGGTCTCCGGAAGGTCTTATCTATATATCTTTTGCCTTCTTTGGTGCTTCCTGGTGTATGTTTTAAACAACCTATGGTAGGTCCATAACCACCTCCCACATCAAATTACATGTATGTGTATATATGTATGCACCTATACAAACACATATGTATGTATGCATACACATGATATATTTAAGGCTAAAAATTGGCAACATGTGAGCGTCCTCTCTAAGGCAAGTCCCCGCATCCCCAGCACAGGTAATTATGGCATGTCCACTTGACACTTGTTTATATGAAGTGTCAACAGCTTTCAGGAGCAATTTAGGAAGCCAAATTCTAGAACTCAATAAATGAGTCCTATTTTCTAAAAATGCAAAACTATCCTGACTCAGACTCTGCAACAAGAAAGGCTTTCTACCTCCTTTGAGGCCCCCTTCCATACAATAGCAGCAGGCACCCATGATCATGCTACAGTGAACATATACTGCATTTAGGGTTGACCTATTACTAAAATAAGACAAAAGATGACAGGAGAGGTTGTAAATAATTAGACTAACATCTTCTTGCTGCAGAATTGGGTTTTAATGAAATGAATGGTTTTTAACAAGAGGGATACTGAGATGGGGGAAACGATGTAATCATGTCACATATTGAGGGTAAAACAAGGCTGTAGAAATAACTGGCATTTTAAAAACCTAATCTCCGAAGTAAGCATAGAACAAGTCATCAAGGGCCCCATTGTCCTCGTAATGGCCTCAATTAAAATATAAAATATTTTTAGCATTTAATTTTTCCTCGTGCACATGCATGTGTGCACCTACACATGAACAAATGCATGCCTATACAACACAAAAACATCTACCATCTTTGCACTAAGAAAATAAATGCTAGCCAGAGCCTCTAATTTTGTTCCTAGTGAAACAGATTGCCTATTATAAAATTTGACATTGATCTTTAAATCACTTGAGCTGACTTCCCTCTTTACTGTCCCCATCCCCCAATTACAGCCTTTTCCATTTGCCTTTCTGTCCTTAGAAGATGTTCTTTGGATCAGAAGCCTGCTAACTTCTTTAGGCAGAAGTGCCAAAGTGCAAAACAAACAAAAATAAGTGAATTCATGGAAGACAAAAAGCAGCCAAACGGCAAGATAGACAATGGAAGCCCAGGACCGAGTAAGGGTTGATTTTTGGTTTCTAAATCGCTTAAATAGATTTGGCTCATTTGGACTTTATAAATGTTGTCATTGTGTGTGGTGGCCCTTATCCAGAGAATTCTTGAAAATCAAAACTCTCTTGCACAAGAGCTTTAGATGGAAGGAGTGGGTAAGTCTTCGTGATAAAACTGGTGTTCTTTCCAAAAGCAAGCAAAAGCCCTCCTGTGAGTCCTCAAAGGCTCCCATGGTAGAGCTTGGTCAACACTTAATTTTGTTTCCTAGAGCCCCAGATAGTTCCTAGAATGCCAACAAGGGGCCGGCCAGGACTAGAGGGAGGCCAGGAGGGGACTCACTGTCAAGGTTATGCAAGTGCAGCAAGTGCAAGGCATCTGAGATTGAGTGCCTCCTTAAATTTTGCACTATAAGTACCTCCCTTGCCTCATCCTAGTCCTTAATCTGCCAAGGAGTAGCCACGGATACCCACTCTTGTTCCCCAGCCCCACTCCACCCTAACTATTGGGCTGTCCAGAACTAGCGTTTGGAGAAGTTTGTTGGCAAATTTTCTCATTTATGCTTCCAGGTCTGAGAGGGATGGGAAAGAACTAACTAGTGGAATAATGTAAAAGAATTTGAGATTCTAAAAATCCCACTCCAGCCACCAGTTCAAATGATACCTAAAAGCAGAAGAAAATGTCCATTCTGCAGTGTCAAGAAAATGGGGTAACTAGGGAACTAAGCTTTCTCTTTACAAAATAATTTTTAAGTGACAGTTTATTGCTTGAACAAAAAGAGAAGACCAAACAGTGATGGAGGATTTTTAATTCCTGCTTTGACAAAAGCCTTTAAACTACATCTACCATTTACTTAAATTAACAAGCTGCCTACATTTTAAAGTAGCTATTCTGTTTCAACAATCTGGAGATGTATTTATCTAATTTCACTTTAGAATCTGAAGGGGGTGACACATGCAAGATTTTTTAAAATGTTTATCTGAAATGTGATGGCACCTAATTGCTTCTGTGAATAACCAATTCTTTGGTGACCACATGTTGGAAATTAGTCCAGATCTTCACAGAGATTTATTTTATTTTAATCTTTCCAATCTTCCCAAGGACATATAAAGGGTTTCTTTTTAAGACTTTTTCCGTATCAGCCTCATTCTGGTCTTTAGGGTTTTGGGGGGAAAAAAAATCCAGGTAGTGGCAAGGCTGAAGGTTTCTGAATTTGACAAAATCTCTATAAAATGGGTTTCCTTCCTTTCTTTTCCTGCAATTCTTCTGTCACAATTTCCCAAAAAGCAGTTACTCCAGCAGATTGGAAAGAGCATTTTTATATTAAATATTTCAACGAACCTGACCAATGTTAAGATTTTACCCCAAGCCCCAGGTCAGGCTCTTTCCCGGCTAATAAACATTTCAACCACACTCCAGTTTCACCAAAAAAAGCGACGGTCCCTGCTGCTCCCCAAATGCCGCAGTTCCTCTCGCCTCCACGTTAATGACCCACTCCGCTTCCACCCGTCACTCCCTCCTTTCACTTCCCCAGTTTGTTTATAAAAAATCTGGGAGGGAGGGGAGAAGAGGATGGGGGTGGGGAGGACTTGCTCTTTGTTTACATTAAACAAATGACAGGCAAAGAGCTCAAGCAAAGTCTTCCTTGACCTCGTTCCCTCTCCCTAATTTTAACAAAAAGGAAAAAAATATTGTATCCAAAGAGAATGTGAATGGGGCGGGAGGAAAGGAGAAGCAGCTTTTCGCTCTATTCAGCGGGGACGCGAGAGCGCGGACGATTTCCGCTCCTTTTGTGAGGCGGGGCCCGGGGGCGGCCGTGAATGGGGGGTCTGTGGAGCGGCCCGCGGGGCTGTCAGGCGGCTCTGCGTAATCAGGGCTAATGACGGCGGTCGGGCGCTCGGCGGGACAATGCGCGGGGCCGCGGGGTTTTGTCGGCCTGAATGGCTAATAGGTTTGCCTGTGAGCTGCGAGGGGGCGGTATCGGGGAGGAGGCGGCGGCGAGGAGAGAAGGGGTCATTGTCCGCGCGCTGGCCCGGGCGCCGAGGCGTGTCCCTGCCTGCGCCGCCCGGCCACCCCCGGGCCCGGCGCCGCCGACGGGAAGGCAGCGGCGGGGAGGCCCCCTGGAGGCCTGCTGGGAAATGGCGGCTGGAGCGGCCGGCGCGTGGGTCCCCTCGGGGAGGCTCTCCAAGCCACGGTCCGCTCCCAAAGAGAAGGCCAGACTCGGCCCACAGTACCCAGGAAGGTGAGTCCTTCCTCGGGGGCCCAGATCTCCCCACGGAGACCACGGAGTCGCGATCTGGGCCCCCGAGGAAGAAGAGGCCCCCCTCTTCGCGCACCCACCTTTTCCATCCAGCGCCCCGCGAACTCGCGGACGTGTAGGCCCCAAGCCACTCCTACTGTTGGGCTTCCTGACTCAGCGGCTCGAGGAGAGAAACCTCTCAAAACCGGGGGACCGAGAGTGGTTCAATTTAAACCTAGGTGGAGAATGAGCCCACAGGCGCGGGCCCCAGCAGCTGCGGAGGCGCGCGCCCGCCCACTCTCGGGCGCCTGAAGTCGCAGCGGTTGCCCAGCCTCGAGCCTGGGGATGCGGCGCGCGCCGCGGTCTGGGCCTGCGCGAGAGGCTGCCGCGCGTGTCGGGCCTGGGCCTACGCGTGTCTGGCCTGGGCCCGCCGGTGCAACGGCAGTTGTCGCCACCGGCCCTAGGCCGCGCCGAGCGAGTCGCCAAGAGGGGCGGGAAGAGGGGAGAGGTCCCAGACCAGGGAGCAGGACCTAAAGGGGGCTTTCCGCGCCCGGCAGGTCCGCCGGGGTCAGCCGTCGAGGCGAGGAGAGGGAGCCGGGCGCTTCGAGGACCGCATGTTCGCGACAGCACACTGGAGCCCTGGCAGGCCACCTGGGCCCCCTTCTTAGGTTTACAATGGGAAACCTTATTTCCCATTGTAAGCTCTTACAAATCTCCTCCGGCTAGATCCTTCTTTGCGGCTATCTTTGCTAGGATTTATATTACCAAACTTCTTCAGACGTGCCATACGGCGAGGGACCGAACTGGTTTTCTTCCCGTTTTCACCTCCTTGTCTGGAGACAAAGGGGTGTGAGGGCGATCCCAGAGCTGAACAAGCAGTTTCACGCCTCCCTGCCCGCTCATGCTGTTTTCACTTGCCCTGTGGTTTGCTCTGCCTGGAACGCCGCCCCCTACCTCGACTGCTACCCTGTCAATCCACAAAGCCTACCCCACCTCCACTAGGTTTTCCGTGAGCCAGTGAGCTCCACACAGATAATGTGCCACTACCTTTTTAAATCCTCCCACCGCACCTTATCTAAACGTCTGTTTTAGCGCTTGTAACACTTTTGCTCATTTGTGTTTGACTTCCCCCTTCAGCCCTTGTTAGAATGTAAGCTCTTTAAGGGCAAGAACCGACTCTTACCCATCTTTGTATTCCCAGCACCTAGCCTAAGTAGTAGGTGCTCAATAAATATTTTAAAGCTGAATGAATTCATGTATCTTCCTTGAAATCTGTCTGCTCTTCCATTAGTGGGGGACCTCTGCTAGCTCAGGAAACATTTGAACAGAAAAGACGAATTATATTGGCTGGACACGGAGTTCACTGTAATCCTCCCAGCTCAGTGTGTTACTGGCTATTACCTACTTGTCGGGTTCTCTGGGATGATTCCATAGAGTGCTCTCTCCCTCTATTCATGTGGTTTTTTTTAGAATCCTGTGACTTTGGGTTCATACCATGAAAATTGTCTTCTCACAATTTTTCCCAAAAGGTAAGAGTAATCCCCTTGGATTTTGAAAATTCTAGGTATTACACTCTCTGAACCCTACAACATAGAATTTCTATTCTGCTTCCAAGATAACTGCTATGCTTTAATGTTGATATCCCTCCAAAATTCATGTTGAAACTTAATCCCCAATGCAGTAGTATTAAGAAGTGGGACCTTTAGGAGGTGATTCACTGCCCCATGAATGGAATGAGTGCTTTCATAAAAGGCTTGAGGGAGTCTGTTACTCCCTTTTTGCCTTTCTGTCCTCCTGCCACATGAAGATGCGGGAAAAAGACACCATCTTAGAAGCAGAACCAGCCCTTACCAGACACAGAACCTAACTGGGCTTTGATCTTGCACTTCCCGGCCTCCAGAATTGTGAGAAATTTATAAATTACCCAGTCCAAAGTATTTCCGTTATAGCAGCAGGAATGGACTAAGACAATAACCCTTTCCTTTCTCCTCCCTCCCACCTTTTCTGTCCTCCGGCTTCCCCACCTCGCTCCTGTGCTGACCTACAAATGATAAAGTAAACCACAAAAACAAAATATGACAAACCCAGACAAGGTGTCCAATTCTAAGATGATAGACTGGTGTCCCACCACTATGCTTAGGCTCACCTAGTGGGGATAAACAGTATCTTTTTCTTTTTTCTTTTTTTTTTTGAGATGGAGTCTCGCTCTGTCGCCAAGGCTTGAGTGCAGTGGCGCTATCTCCAGCTATCTCTAGCTGGGACTACAGGCACCCGCCACCACGCCAGGCTAATTTTGTGTATTTTTAGTAGAGATGGTGTTTCACCGTGTTAGCCAGGATAGTCTCAATCTCCTGACCTCATGATTCGCCCGCATCGGCCTCCCAAAGTGCTGGATTTACAGGCATGAGTCACCCGCACGCGGCCATTAAAATCTTAAATCACAAGGGCTCTGTGAAAATGCTGGATAACAAACTCATCTCTCTTTTAAAATTTAATGGGCAGAAGCAAGTGAACTGTGTATAATTTTGAATTCTGATAAAATATATATAAGACTGCCTCTTGGAAAGTCATTCTAGCCTGGCACAGCCAATCTGCAACCTGAGAATACTAAGTTACTGTTTGTTTTTCTTACTGAAGGGATTAGTCTTGAATTTTCTAGCACAAAATCAAACACTTAAGTTGAGAGGGCACATTAATTTGGCACATGAAGAGTCTGGTGGACAAAAATTTATTATGCATTTCAAACATTTTCAGATATTTAAGATTCCTATAAAAGATTTGCCCATTTAAATTAATCACCATTTAAAGCATTTTCCACGGCATTGGGTAAACTCCTGACTTTCTATAAATTCCTGCTAAATTATGTATTTGAACTGAAGACCTATACATGTATATCTTATCTAAATAAATTATTTTTGCAGATACTTGTGACTGTATGAAATGAATTTGTCCATTTAAATAGAAAGCAAGTAGGAAAAAGAAAACTATACTGGACACAGTCTGTGGACAATGGGCTGGCACCTGAGAAGGTGGGATCAGACAAACCTGGCTTGAAATACCTAATCGCTGTGAATTTGAGAAGTCACTCAACTCTCTGAGCCTTAGTTTTTACTTCTGCAAAATGGGTCGATAATATCGAGGAATATTGTGAGTGTTATTGGGTTAATGCATGTAAAGCACCTAGCACAGACCCTCACATGTAATAGGGGTTTAGTGAATGGAACTTCCCTTTCCCCATTTTTCCTGTTAAATGCTAAGGCAGAGAAATAAGCTGTACAACTCCCCTTAAAAATTGTTTTTAATAGATGTACATATTTGTAATATTGAATTTAAATGCTAAATGCTTTCCTTAGTACTAGAAGCACCTTCCACTCACCACCCCCAGTAGGTAGGACACAATATGTTGGTTTTCCAGCAATGGCATTGGAGGAGCTTGTGCTCACATACCATCATCCTTTTACTCTGCCTGTGGCTGCTTGTCATCTCTGTGAAGCTCTCCAAAGGGATCCTGGCCCATCGTGAAAGTCAGGATATCCCCGAGTATAAAGTACGATCACTGAAAAGGTAACATAACATTTTGGGGAAAATGCAAGGTTCATTTCTTTGAGAAGAAAGTAGTGATCTCACTTCAATTACACTCACATGACTCTTTTTATAGCTAGTAATAAAACATTTCACTTGCACTATTTCACTTCCTCACAAGAACCCTGTGAGGTAAATCAGCGGATAGGGGGGTTCCCATCTTCCGGATGAGGAAACTGAGGCTCATTACTTGCTCAAAGTCACAAGACCAGCAAGGAATCCAGATTTTGTAGGGTTTGAAGCTTACACTATTTGGAGGGCAGGGGCACTCTTTAAGATTAAAGATACAAAATTATGAGTACAAATTGGGCACAAAAAATAAATAACAATAATTACAATTTTTTTAACCTGGCAAATACAACAAACCACAAAATCCAGGCAAGTAATAAAATCATTTCATTAACTGTCTTACATACCTCTAGAATTGTTTTTTCCCTACTATTTTTCTGTATATTCTTTAATTGCTCCTTTGTATGACAATTTTATTATACAACCTCAAATAGAAAGATAATTCAGTCTTTACTATGGGTTGGTTTAAATATTTTTATTATTGATAACTTGGAAAAGTTTCTCGCAGTTTCATAGTTCATTATTGGTAATGCCCTATATTATTTTTAGGATTTGCATCAAATATGGGAAAGCCTCAATGAAATTTCTTCCATATATAGGCAGTAAAATTTCAGGACACTGCAAGTTTCCTTGAGCAATAACCCAGTAAATAATCTTTACATTGACAACATTCATTAACTAGTTTGTGATCAAGGTATTACACTTACAAAGAAGTAACAGCAAATCATAAAAATATAACACTAAACTCAAACTAACTATATATCGAACTCAAGTTCCCTTTAACTGCCAGCTCCCAAAAATGACTATGGTTACTCCACTGAAACCCAACATGAAGGGAAATGGACAGAGGGAAAATAGGAGTGGAAAGAGACAATGATCTATTGTTGTTAAATTGCCTTATTTTATAAATTTTCAAAAACTGCATGATTATGTGAACATATTGCTAGAACCACTTCCAGGGTCTTGGAAGAGACCTGTGCAAGTAAGGAATCTTTTTTTTTTTTTTTTTTTTTTTTTTGAGACGGACTCTTGCTCTGTCGCCCAGGCTGCCCAGGCGCGATCTCTGCTCACTGCAAGCTCCGCTGCCTCCTGGGTTCACGCCATTCTCCTGCCTCAGCCTCCTGAGAAGCTGGGACTACAGGCGCCCACCACCACACCCAGCTAATTTTTTTGCGTTTTTAGTAGAGACGGGGTTTCACCATATTAGCTAGGATGGTCTCGATCTCCTGACCTCGTGATCCGCCCGCCTGGGCCTCCCAAAGTGCTGGGTTTACAAGCGTGAGCCACCGCGCCAGGCCAAAAGTAAGGAATCTTAAAGTGTCATTTGCTCCAAGGTAATTCTGCCTGTGCACAGGCCCGGTGAGTGAGTGATGAGAACAGGTTTTCTGACTCCAAGTCCATTACACTTTTCTATTACCTGAGACATAATGTATTTTCTCAGAAAGTTTTGATAAGTTTCTACTGAAATCCTGTTTTAAAAAATGGCTCACAGATGGAGGGAGAGTGAGTTTAAGATTGCAACTGGAGAGCTGGCCCTGAGTAGAACTGTGAGGTACACAGGTTACCCCTTTGAACCTGGTTACCTTTCTGTTTCCTTTTGGAGGTCTTTCACCTTGTCTGCTTACAGGTGCCCCATCCTAAACTGTCAGAAGTCCTTCAATGTTCTTCACCCTCCATTTATCAAAATCTATTCTCAGTTGTCACAAAAATCAGATAAACCAATTCACATCAACATGCAAATAGAGCTGCTAAAAGCTTGATAAATTACCTACAGATGGGGGCCTGGGCGAGTACTTACTATCTGTTAGGAAATAATCCTTTAATTCAATAACCCCAAATCACTAATGGTAGCAATTCAGACACCACTAGCAGGCTAGTAGAAAATTATTTTTGGTTGGAAAAGAGCCAAGTACCCTTCAAATCATTCCATTGAATTAGATGACTGCTTTGTGAGTCAGATATCACCAATATTAAAAGTAAAATAAAGCAAAAACCTTTTCAGGCTCCTCAAGTTTTCCCCTCAAGAAGCAATTTCTTCTCTTCACTCCCCAACTTCATGAGAGAGTAGCCTACATTCTTTGCCTCAGTTTCTTCTCTAGGTATTTACTCCTTAACCTTGTGCAACCTGTCTTTTACTCACATCATTACATTAAGACAGTTGCCTCAAAGGTCACTTTACGTGGTCAAACTACTCAACCTGTTGATCTTCAACTCTGTGAAGCATCCTGTCCTTCTAAACAGGGCCAAGATTAAATTGAGGCAAGCAAGGTGACTAAGGTACAAAATTTAAGGAGGCATTCACTCTCAAGGTCCTGCAAGTTCAGGGTTGGCATCTAAGAATTAGTACTCCCTTAAATTTTGCACCATACATGCCTCGCTTGCCTCACCCTTGTCCCTGCCTTCTTCTGAAACATAACTGAACTTCTTACCATATTCAGAGCATGGAATGCATTTTGCTACCTTCATGACTTTGCTCATGATGCAGGTGAAAATAGACCTTCACACTTGATGCCTGCATGCATCCCTTCCTGCCTTTTTCTGTGGCAGCACACTTAGGGAACTGTTCTTTCCCAACTCAGTGTATTTTGGTTGAGGCCGCC